AGGACGGGCAGGAGAGCTCTCCCACTCCGCTGCCTCACCTGGCGGCCTTGACACTCGGCCACACAGAAACGGGCCCCAGCTGAAGGTGTGGTGGGCCGGGACCCTCCTCCCAGGGCTGGGAGCTGCGGGAATCCTGGCTCCCCTGAGGCTCCTCTCCATGGACTGAATGGCAAAGTCCTGTGGGACGAGCAGTGTGGGGAGGTGCTTGGGGAGCCCTTCACCCTTCAGCCTCTGAAAGACTCACCATCAGACCAAGGAGCAGAGACCCCAGGAGAACGCGCCCTCGTGGAACCTGAGTCCGCAGATGTCTGAGTACAACTGCCCCCAGCTGAAGACCTCTGAGGGCAGCCGACAGCGTGGGAACAGTGAGGGAAGGAGCAAGCGGCCCTCAGGCCCAGCACAGCAGCCACTTAGGGAGCATAGGGAGGGCTGGTGTAAGTTCCAAGCTGAAACAAGAGCATTTTTAGAACAGCCACATGGCACCGGCATCACCACCACATCCCATTCCACAGATAGACCGAGACCGGAGAGGTGAGCAAGTCTACGTGGCTGGAAATGGAGAGATCAGGGTTTCGCCCCAAGCCCGAGAGCCCAGGGCCTCGCTGTTGACTGCTCTGTGTTCACACGGTGCATTTGGCAGCACCACTGGCCCTTCCTGAACCTTCCTGTTCAGGGTGAGGCCGTAAGTCTTGCTCACGACTACTCCCCACCTACCTAGCTCAGGTTCCTGGCAGGCGCTGGCCCTGCGTGATCCCTGAGAACGCCCGACCACAGCCTGGTCTCCCAGCAGCCTGAGCAGACCGTGGTCAGCTGCTGCTGGTGACCAAGTCCTGATGCTTTGTTCCAGCACAGCCAGAGTACAGGTCGGGCTCCCACCCACAGTCTGGGGCGGGGACAGGTGGTTGGGTGGTGTAGAGCACAGGAGGGCAGTTCCTGGAATGGTGACAGCCAGGGAAGGGAGCAGGGCTGCAGACAAAGGCCAGGCAGAACAGGAGCATTGGAATAGTAGAGGAACCAGCTCTAAAATATGCCTCAGGGGCTCGGAAAGTGACTTACTCCTGACTCCTGTGTACACACAACACCCCGAGGTGGTGAGCCGAGCCTCTGCTCCTGCCAACGCTCACTCCTGTACAGCGCCCAACACACTGGGTGCTGGGAGCCCCTGTATTTCATTTCTACACACCACAAAAAGTGTGGCTGTTGACCCAGAAGATGGAAATGTTTTCAGTGAGAAGATGTGGGGTTGTGGGTGTCTGGGCGTCTAGGTTGCAAGAGACAGGAAAGTTTTCAGCAGAAACTTGCGCCTGGCCCTCTGAATGGGGGGAAATGAATTTCTGTCTCCCCACACTTCCCAAACTTCTGTGCCAGAGCTTCCTTCCCCACTTCTAGACGACACCCCAGGTGCATCGCAGAGCTTTTCCAGTCACTTTTGAGCTTTAGAACAGCATCCTTTGCAGATTTTTTTTTTAAAGTCCAGCTAGATTTAAATCAAAATTTCATCTTTCCACCAGTTCAGACCTCACCTCAGTTCAGAAATCTGCTAGGAGGAGTGAGGCCTTTTTCTTCACGTCCCTAACTTGGCGCATCCTCACATTATTGGGGGCTGGAGGTGCAGGGGCGCGATGTCATCCTCCCCTCTGACAGTTCCCCCACGCAGGACATTCTCCCGATGCCTCCCCTCCCCTAGGCGTGGGTAAGAAAGCTATGCTGACCGCCTTTGCCACCCTTTGCCTCCTCTTCTCCCATAGCGAAGGGTCTCAGGACCCCTCCAGCCTCCCTTGGCAGATCCTGCGGCTCCTGGACGGACATGGGGGTGCTCATCACCTGCAAACCTCACCAGAGCTCCCAGGAAACAGAAAAAAACCACCATTCTTCCTGCTCACTCCACTCCAGAAAGCCCCCCTTTCCTTCTGGGTCCCTTCCCTGCTCCAAACACCCCCAGCTCCCTGGAGACTCAGCCTGGACCGCCGCAGACTATAGATGGATGGAGGCCAGGGCCTGCCTTCAGGCAGAATTGTGCTCATCTGTGCTTCAGAGCCCTTCCCTGCACAATGAAGACGTGGCCTGCACCTCACATGGTGGCTGCTGTGAGGATGGAGGCTGAGGCTTGGGAAGCCATTGGCTGCTGTGAGGATGGAGGCTGAGGCTTGGGAAGCCATTGGCTGCTGTGAGGATGGAGGCTGAGGCTTGGGAAGCCATTGGCTGCTGTGACGATGGAGGATGAGGCTTGGGAAACCATCTGCACAGCTTCTCTCCGCCGCAGGTGGGACACGTGCTCTCGCTGCCCAGTTTGGCTTTGCTTCTGCCTGACACCCATCCTCCACTCCAGCCAGGCAAGGTCACTGTGCCATGTGCCAGGTTCATTCAGAAGCTCTCACCTCCTCCCACATTGCCCATGGGAAGTCCCACATCCTTTCAGGCGTCAGAAATGCCCCTCTGAGCCGGGGCCCCCATCCCCCGCCTTTTCTAGGCCTTGCCCCTCTTCCTCCTCCTCCTCCAAGACAGGGAGCCCAAGACACCAGGACATTAGTGCTGCAGGAGTTAGCGAGGCAATTAGGAGAAAAGCCAGATAAAAGTTGGAAAGGAGAAGGTTAGGACAGGGAAATCTGACTGTCTCCAATGTCCGTTCTTTTCATATTCTCTAATAACAGAGGCCCAGATTTTTGGATGAGCATACAGCCTTCATACATGTTAGAAGATGTAATGATCCCATTGACAAAAACAGAGTGATAAGACACTTGAGAATAAACTCTGCAAGAAACATATGCACAACCAATATGAAGAAAACACAGACTGTCTGAATGAACGGAAGGTATATACTGTCCTTAGAGAGGAAGATTTAACATCATAAATATTCTAGCTTTTATTCCCAATTCAGTCTACAAATTAAACACAGCCCCAGTTAAAAATACCAACAGGATTTTTCATGGATGATCGCTAATTCTAAAGTTCGCTTTTTAAGTTGGGTGCAATGGCTCTCACTGGTAATCACTGCACTTTGGGGGACTGAGGCAGAAGGACCATTTGCACTTAGGAGTTTGAAACCAGCCTGGGCAACATAGCAAGAACTCCTCTATACTAAAAATAAAAAATAAAACAAATTAGTCAGGCATGGTGGCATGCACCTGTAGTCCCAGCTACTTGGGAAGTTGAGAAGGGAGCATCACTTGAGCCCAGAAGGGTGAGGCTGCAGTGAGCTATGATCATGCCATGGCACTCCAGCCTGGGCAACAGAGCAAGATCCTGTCTCCAAAAAATATATAAAAATAAAGATAAAGTTTATTTTTTTTTTTATTTTATTTTTTTTGAGACGGAGTCTCGCTCTGTCACCCAGGCTGGAGTGCAGTGGCCGGATCTCAGCTCACTGCAAGCTCCGCCTCCCGGGTTCACGCCATTCTCCTGCCTCAGCCTCCCGAGTAGCTGGGACTACAGGCGCCCGCTAGCTCGCCCGGCTAGTTTTTTGTATTTTTTAGTAGAGACGGGGTTTCACCAGGTTAGCCAGGATCGTCTTGATCTCCTGACCTTGTGATCTGCCTGTCTCGGCCTCCCAAAGTGCTGGGATTAGAGGCTTGAGCCACCGTGCCCGGCCTAAAGTTTATTTTTAAAAAAAAAACAAAAGCACTAAAGAAATCAATTACAAAAATGAAGAGTAACAAGGAATGAGAAGACTAATATTAAACTATGTTATAGAGCCATAATAGTTGAAGCAGTATAGCACTGAGGCATACACATGCAGGAAGATTAGGAAAAAGAATAGAGAGCCCAGAGATAGGTTCAAATACATTTTAAAAACTTTGCTGTATTATCAAGATGGTGTTTCAAATTGGTGGAGAAAAGGTAGATTTTTCAATAAAATGTACTGCCATTGACATTTTCTGGGGAAAAAAATAGGTTGGTCTTACCTTGTTTTATACATCAAAATAAAAAATACATTGGTCAAAGATTAAGTATTTTAGGAGCCAGGCATGGTGGCTGGCACCTGTAATCTCAGCTGCTCAGGAGGCTGAGGTGGGAGGATCACTCAAGCCCAGGAGTTTGAGGCCATGGTAAGCTATGATCCCGCCTGTGAAGAGCCACTACTTTCCAGCCTGGGCAACATCGAGAGACCCTCATCTCTAAAAGGAAAGGGGAAACTTTAAAAAAAAAAAATCTTTGAGTGGGGAAGGGCTTTCAAAGTATAATACAAAACTTTAGAAGTCATAAAAGACTGATAATTCTAACAATGCAAAAAAAATTTTTAATCGTCCATGGCAAAAAAACAAAAATAAAACTAGTCAACTAGAGAAAAATACATATTTGCAACATGTCATGAACAGGAGCCAATTTCTTTAATATGTAAAGAGCTTCTGTAAGAAAAGACTGTCATAAACCATAGAAAAATGGGCAAAGGATATGAATCGCAATTTTGCAGAAATGAAATGGAAATGGCTCAGAAGCATATGAAGGATGGTCAGCTCCACTTTTACTAAGGAACATGCAAATTCAACTTAATGAGATTTTTTCTTCCGTCAAATTGGCAAAGATAAGTTTCATAACTTTCATTCATTGGTGTGACTTCCATGGATGGTCCTTCAGCAATATTTATCAAATTTACAAAACACACATCATCAATTTCAGAATTCACACACTTCTAGGAATATATCCCTGAAACTGTACTCTCACATGAAATGCTGTGTGTGGAAAGCTATTCATTGTAGCATCTTTTTAGTATGAATGTGTGGGAAATAAAAACCATCAGCAGGGACTGCGTCACTAAATGATGGACGGCCTCTCCATCACTGACTTTGCAGCCAATAAAAAATAACAAAGCATCCATTCATTCACGTCTATTTACCGAGTGCCACTAACCCTGGGGACAAATCCACAGACCAGAAGTCATGCCCTGGTGAGAAGGAGACAACAAACACATAAGTCAAACGGGGAGGGAAGTGCCAAGGAAACAGGATGACAGGAAACAGGATTTTGAGGCTGCTGCAGCCTCAAACGGGGCCACCGTCAGGATGGACTCGCTGAGACATTTGAGCAAAGGCTGGGCTCAGAAACACCCGGAGCCTGTGCCCGCGCTGGAGCAGGGGGAAGCACCGGGAGAGAGGGGAGACAGGGTCAGGAGATGAGGAGGTGAGGACAGATCCAGCAGGAAGGCCAGGATTCCTGGAGAGTGAGCCGGCAGGCAGCCACGCGGTCCTATCGTCATATTTTAAAAGCATGCCTGTGGCTGCTATGCTGAGAGCATACTGAAGGGTTGAGGGGATGAAAGTGGGGAGACCAGACAGAGGCCTTTGCAATAATCCAGGCAGAGATGATGATGGCAGGGAAGGTCCATTGGTCCCTCCCTCTGCTGCAGGATGCTCTACAAGATACATTGGTAAATGAAAAAAGCAAGGTGTGGAACAGTGTTTAGTAAACTAACGCTCATGAGACACAGCACACGCACTTACGCTTCACTGAGTATAGAATCTGTTGTGAAGATCACTTGAGAACACGATATTGCTGCTTCATGGAAGGAGAACTGGGTGGCTTGTGGATGGGCACGGCATGGAAATTGACCTTTTCATTTATATCTTTTTGCACCTTTTGAATTTTGGACTCTGTACACAGAGTATAATGCTTATTAAAAATTACTTATTTTTTAAAAAATACCTTAAATATTTGAGAGAGGAAAATATTTGCACATAGGAGATACACAGGATTATTCAAAATTTTTTATTTGTAAAGAATTCCTTGCCGGGTGTGGTGACTCATGTCTGTAATCCCAATACTTTGGGATTTGAGCTTAGGGATTTGAGTTTGAGACCTGCCTGGACAACACAAGGAGATCCTGTCTCTACTTTACATTTATATTAAATTTTATATTTAAAAAAATTCCTAAAACGTATAAGGAAAACGGACAAAGGCCATAAACAGAGGAGTAAATACAAATGGCCAGTGAACTAAGACAGCCACTCTCATCAGGAACTAAATGACAAGACGCCATTTTCAGCTGACAAGCTGGCAAAAATTAAAACATTTGAAAGTCAAGGACGGCCCGGCGCGGTGGATTCCGTGTAACCCCAGCACTTTGGTGGCGCCATTGCACTCCAGCCTGGGCAACAGAGTGAGACTCGGTCTCAAAAAAAATTTTTTTTAAATTAAATAATTAAAGTTAAGGGCGGGAACTCTGTGGAAAGGAAGCTTCTGAAGCTGTCCAGGAAGAGAAGCGGCCCCTGGTCAGGCCAAGAACCCCACAGCAGCAGCCCCGTCTTCCCCCAACTCACTGCTGGGCGGGGGCCTCCCAAAAATTCAGACTCAAACCGCGCGGCCTCTGCGTTCCCTTCCCGGTTCACGTTACCCGGTAACGAGGAACCACAAACGCTCTGCGCCTGGTGGGGGCCCAGCGTCCAAACCCAGCCTGGGCAGGGCCGGCTCCTCCGGGGTCCTCGGCCGCCTGGGGGACACAGGTGTCTCCACGATCCGTATCCAGGGCCTGCTTCTCAGGAGAACGCTGGATCTGGGGCCAGCCCTAACCTCGTCTCGACCACATCTGCAAAGGCCTTATTTCCAAATAAGGTCGCATTCCTGGGTACCGGGCGGACACGAACCCGGGGGCCCGGGCATCCCAGCGCCGCCGCTGCCAACCTCCGGCTCCGCTCCGGCCCGCGCGGAGCCTCCCTCCATCATCCACGAGGATTTCCCTTTGGAGTCTCTCTCTGTCGCCCAGGCTGGGGTGCAGTGGCGCAATCTCGTCTCACTGCAACCTCCGCCTCCCGGGTTCAAGCGATTCTCCTGCCTCAGCCTCCGAGTAGCTGGGATTACAGGCGCCCGCCACCACGCCCGGCTAATTTTTGTACGGACGGGGTTTCACCAGGTTGGCCAGCTGGTCTCGATCTCCTGACCTTGTGATCCACCCGCCTAGGCCTCCCAAAGTGCTGGGATTACAACCGTGAGCCACCGCGCCCGGCCAGATTTCCCTTTTAAAC